AATGAAGCTTAGAAAATTCTTGGTTGGAATTGCTAATCTTTAAGAACATTAAAAATTGGACTCTAATTCCTTCTGGTTTGTAGAGTTTCTGCAGGTAAGTCTAGAGCAATTTTTAAGAGTTTTTCCAAGTAGGTAGCCTGGTCTTTCTCTCTTGATGCCTTTAGGAATTTTTTCTTTCATGTTTACTATTTGAAGGTGGATTACTACGTGTCTTGGTGATGGTCTTCACACGTACTATCTTGGAGGGGTTCTCTGAATATCTTGCACCTGAATGGTTGTCTCTCTAGCACAATAGGGAAGTTCTCTTGAATGACCTCATGGAGAGTTTTTTCCATGGTGTTTTCATTTTCCCTTTTTGCTTCAGGTATACCAATCAGATGTATATCTGAGCAAGTCACACAGCTCTCAAAGATTTAGTTCCCTCTTTTTGAGTATTTTTCCATTGTTTTCAACATTGTGTTAATTCCATATTTTGACCTTCAAGGTCTAAGATTCTTTTCTCTGCTTGATTGAGGCTGTTCCCAAGACTTGTTGTTGATATTGATAACGAAAATGGGGCTCTTTATTTCCATTATTCCAGAGTAGGCTTTCTCAAGTTGGTTACCTCCACTTTAACTTCTTGTACAATTTCTAAGTTTCACTTTGGTTCTTGTTCATTTGTGCCATCCATTCTCTGATTTAGCTGTCAACTGGAGCAGGTCATTCTGGAGGGTTTTCATTGTTTGTGCTCTGGTGGCTGCTTTTTTGTGTGCTGTCTCCTTAAAATTCTGAAAGTTGCTTGCTCTTCCCTTTCTCATTTGTCTCAGAACTCTTCTTACTCAGTGTGGGTAGAAGGAGCTGCACCTCAGGCTTACTTTTGTATTCAGCATATTCACAAACTCACCACTTAAAAGGGTATAGTTTGCCATGTTTTAGCAACTGTGTACATCATATAACTGCTACCAAAATTAAGATACAGAACATCTTCATCACCCTTGAATGTTTCCTTGTCCCCATCACTACCTCTGGCAACCAATGACATTAATTCTGTACCTATAATTTTGACTTTTCTAAAATGTCAGGTAAATTGAATCATACAGTATTTTATGTCTGGCTTCTTTTATTTCCAATGCTTTGGAAATTCATACAGGCTGAATGTATCAGAAAGACATTCCTTTTTACTGTGGAGTAGCAGTCCACTATATGCATTTGCCAAAGTTTATGTAAGCTATCCATGAGCTGATGGACACTGAGGTTGTTTCCAGTTTGGAGTGATTATGAATAAAGCTGCTATAGACATTCAAACACAAGTCTTTGTGTGGACATATGCTTTCATTTCTAGGAGTAGAACTGCTGGGTCACTGGATACCTATATGTTTAACTTTATAAGAAACTGCTAAATTAACTTCCACATGGTGTGTACTATTTTGCAACACCACTAGCAATGTATGAGCTCTCTAGATGATTTATATTCTCACCAATACTTGGTCTTGTCAATCTTTGCAGTTGTCTGTTCTAGTAAGTGTGGAGTGATATTTCATTTGCATTTTCCTGATGACTAATGGTTTTGGACATCTTTTCATAAGCTTGCTGGGCATTTATATGTCTTTGGCGAACTATTTTCAAAAGTCTTGTCCCCCCACTCCCTTAAATTAGGTTGTTTTATTATTGACTTGGATGAGTTCTTTATATATTCTGGATACACTCTTTTATCAGATATATATCTTAAGAATATTTTCTCCTTATCTGTGTATTTTTTCCATTCTCTTGAGAGAAGCTCATGAATTTATCAATTTTTTCTCTTATGTTTAATACTTTTTGTGTTTTATTTAATAATTGCCTTACCCAAGGACAGAAAGATTTTTCCGTTTTCTTCTATAAGTTTGGTCTATGACTCATTTCAAATTAATCTTTCTATATGGTGTAAAATAATGGTCAAAGTTTTTTTTCCTTTTGCCCATGAATAGACAACTGTTTCAGCACCATTTATTAAAAAGACGTTCCTTTTCTCATGGAAATCCTTTGGCACCCCTGGAAAATTCTTTGGACCTTATATGTGCAGCTCTCTTCTGTTCCACTGATGTCTATTTCCACCCACATGCCAGTATCACACAGAAGAAGATATGCCAGCATCTTCCATAGTTCCCTATAAATGTTATAAACAGTATGCAAATTAATATTTTAAAAAATCTGCTGGAGTATTGATTAGGATTGTGCTAAGTCTAGAGATCACTTTGGGGAAAACTGACATTAAAAAAAAATTTTTTTTTTTTAATTTTAAAATTGTGGGGTACAATTCAGGGATAGGTATATAAATATTCATTGTGCAGGTACCCTTGTTGATGAGATGGCCCCTCTTCCCCAGGCAGTTTCTCACTACTATCAATCCCCCCACCCCATGCCTCCACAGTTTCCTGCTACTGTCAATCCTTTTCTTATAGTATTATGATAGTTGTTCGAGGTCCACTTATGAGTGAGAACATGTGGTACTCAGTTCTTTGTTTCTGTGAAAGATCACTCAGTATTATAGACTCTAAGTCCATCCAGGTTGCTGCAGAGTTTATGATTTTGTTCTTCTTTATGGCTGTAAAATATTCCATTGTGTATATGTACCAGTTTTTTATCCAGTCCTCTTTTGATGGGCAGCACAGTTGGTTCCATGTTCTTGCTATTGTGAACAATGCTGCGATAAACATGTGTGCAGGTATCTTTTTTACAGTCATTTGAGTTCTTCTGGGTATATTCCCAGTAGGAGGATTGCGGGGTCATATGGAAGGTCGATTTTTAGAACTTTTAGGAACTGCCACACTGTTTTCCACAGAGACTATACTAGTTTACAATCTCACCAACAGTGTAGAAGTATTCCCTTTTCGCCACATCCTCTCCAGCATCTGTTATTTTTTGAGTTAGTGATGATGACTGGCCATTCTCACTGGAGTTAGGTGGCATCTCTGTGTAGTTTTAATTTGTATTTCTCTGATGACTAGTGAGGTTGAACATTTTTTCATATATCTGCTGCCTGCTTGTATGTCTTCTTTTGAGAACTGTCTATTCATACTTTTTGCCCATTTTGTACGGGGCTGTTTGTTTTTTTCTTTTCAGCATGTTTGACACCTCCTTGTAGATCCTAGATGTTAGGTTAGGCACTTGTCAGACACAGAATTGGCAAATATTTTTTCCCAGTCTGTGGGCTGTCTCCCTGCTCTCTTGATAGTTTCTTTGGCTTTGCAAATGCTTGTCAGTTTTATAAGGTCCCACTTGTCTATCTTATCTCTTATGGCATGGGGACTTGGGGTTTTGATCAGAAATTGGTTGCAGCTCCAATTTCCATAAGAGTGTCTCCTGCATTTTCTAAGGTTCTTATAGTTTGAGGTTTTACGTTTAGGTCTTTGATCCATTTAGAGCTGATTTTTGTGTATGGGGATAGGTAAGGGTCTTGTCGCAATCTTCTGCATCTGGTCAGTTTTCCCAGCACCATTTACTGAATAGGTTGTCTTCTCCCTAGTGGTTGATGGTAGAGGCTCTGGCGAAGATGAGTTAGTTGAGAAATTGAGGTTTTGCTTCTGGAATCTCAATTCTATTCCATTGGTCTATATGCCTTGATTTCTTCTTATTTCAACCTGGGAGGCTGTGTGATGTCAGAAAGTCCTCCATTTCTTTGAGGTTTTCAAGTTTGTTTCCATACAAGTGTACATAGTATTCTTTTCTAATCTTTTGAATCTTAACAACTTAATTCTTCTGATTCATGAACACATTATACTTTCAATTCATGAACACATTATACTCTCTATTTTATAGGTCTTCCTTAATTTCACTCAGCAATATATTGTAGTTTTCAATGTATAGGTCTTACAAATATTTTGCTAAGTTTACCCCTAACTGGTATAAATATTTTTTCTTAATTTCAATTTCCAAATGATCACTGCTAGTAATTAGAAAAATAAATTACTTTTGTAAATTGTCTTTGTACTCTACATAGTTGCTAAACTCACTTACTTAGTAGCTTATTTTTTTTGTAGATTCCTTAGGATTTTCTACATAAACAATCATGCTATTTACCAATTAAGATAGTTGTCTTCCTTTCTAACCTATGCCCTTTATTTCTTTTTTTGTCTTATCACACTGCTAGCACCTTCAGTATAATGCTGAATAAGAGTGCTATCAGTGGTCAAATTGTCTTCTTTCTGATCTTATGGGAAAGGTACTCAGTCTTTCATTATTAAGTATGATGTTGAGGTTTCTTAACCTGTTCTTTACCAGGTTAAGAAAGTTACCTTCTTCTATACCTAGTTTGCAAGAGGTCTTATAAGCAGATGTTGAATTCTGTCAAATCTGGTAATGTGTTATTATTGATAACTTAATACTGCAGACAAAGAAATTTAGAGCTGGAAGGGGATTCAGGATTGGCCAGTTCATTTACCTCGTTTATAGATGAGAAAACTGAGGTCCAGAGAGGCAAAACAACATGCTCAAAGTCACAGCAACATAAGAAGCAAAAAAAGTAGTTCTATGACTTAAACCTCTAGATGACTAAGACCTGTGCTTTTTATATGATTATAGTGTTTATATGGTCAAGTGGAAATGAACTAAAGTAGTATCTAAGTATTAAGAGGAAAGAAGACAGCAACCAGAGCTTCTTTGCATTTTCTGAGAAAAGGCGAAGGGTAAAGATGGGTTTTAACTGAGGCACTAGGTTTCCAGTTCAAGTGATAATATCTACTGCCGACTATAGTGAGGGGAGGTAACTAATAGCCACTACTCATTTATTGCTAACGGTTATTCTTTATAAACATATAAAAACACAGGGATTCTCTGAAGATTTTCAAAGAATGCATTAATATAGTAGTAGCATTCCTTTACCAAACTGATCACTCTACCTCTGAATTTTCTGGTCAGTTTTTGAAGACTGAATTATTGCTTTTAGTTTCAGGTTTTTTGTTTTTGTTTTTAATTGAAAAAAGTTCAAAAGTCTCTCAAAACACTAGGATAAGAGAAAGTAACCCCCATGGAAGAAAACTGACCTGGGAGGTGAGGGTGATGCTTGGCTGTGACTGTAGGAGGTTGGCTTGGCTTTGCTGAGGTAGTTGCGTTAAAAGATTTTGCGCTTGCAGGAGACCTGTAAAATACAAACACATTATGCCAGAAACATTAAAGATTACTTCGAACACACGGTGAAGGAAAGAATAAGAATGTATACTGAAAATGTCCAACTAATCTCCAGATGGTCTTCTTGGAAAATTAAGTCTTGTTAAATACAACTTGGGACAAAGACACAGAACATTACATTAAAACTGATAAGTCTTTAGCATAATTTAAATAAGCTCTCTGATAGGTCAATTCTTTACTTTAGTAAGGAGTGGATGAGCGAAGAACTATTCTAAATGGAAGCAGCTGGGAATTCCAAAAAGAGCTCAACTTCTTAACCTAGAATTCATTAGAAACTGCCAGTATATGTTGGACCAGAAAACTGTCTAATTCATGAAAGGAGCAGGATATCTTTTAAGCGGAAAAAGCTGCCGTTTTCAAGTTCTCTTCATCAAATATTTGCCTTTTGGATAATAAAGTTGAAATATAAAATACTATCTGCACTAACACTGATCAGTCTTTGTTGAAAAACGATAAGTAATGCTGGCAATGCTTCATGATAACAACTGACAAAGCAGAAATGTGAACGCTTGATGTGTTTGTAGTAGATTCCTAGGCAATTACTTGAGCCTATGGCTTTTTATTTTCAGAAGCTTATAAAGAAATCAACCCAGAATGTCTGTATTTAATGATTTAAGTATAATACTGTCACTAAAATACTAAACACAGAAATAAGTATGCTGAGATAAGAGCAATGGCAGAAATTATCCAACACAGCACACCAAACAAAAGGGTTTCTTTCGACCATTCTCTTTTGAATATGTGTTAAGATTATTTGAAGCAACAGATATCTTCCTAATTATTATTTCCTTAAGTTACTAAATTTGTATAAACTGAATGTTGGAACATGTAAGGACAATAGCCAAAAAACTTAAAACTTGCCAGAATTTATCACTTGTTTGTAACTAAGCACTGCATGAATTTAAGTTATTAAAATACATATTTATTTCATAATGTAGATCACAAGTAAGATAAATATATTAAGTAGATTGGATATTTCTAGAGAACACTGACTTTTGTTCATCTGGGGCCAGTGAAACATACTATGAAGCAAGTATGATTAAATGAAATAAAATTTGGTACATATTACTACAAACATTTCTTAAAAGGCAGATTTATGAAGGTGTAAATGACCATCTTGCTTCCCCAAGTGACTTTCTATATATCAATCCCCATAGAGTACTTAGGATGATCTTTTTGTATCACATCATGAATGCTCTAATGGCCTTGTATTACAGTTAGAATAAAATCTATGTATCTGTAGGTAATCTGGCCCTGCCTAGCTCTCATATCCTATCACATCCTTTCAGTCACTGAACACCAGCTACATTGGTTTTCCTTCTCCTGGATTAGGTTGAGCTTATTTCCATCTCAGGTATCTCGCATTCCTTTTCCTGCAAGATTCTTTATTCAGATCATAGGTATGGCAGCCTCTTCCACATCATTCAGTTCCCAATTTAAATACTTCTTCTCCAGAGAGGCTTTTCCAGGCCCCAAGCCCATTCCTCCACAGGTTAACCATTACTAGATTACTCTGATCTGCTATCTGTCTAGGACTTATTGCTATCTAAATCATTTGTTTACTTGTTTATGATGTGACTTCTCCTAATGAGGGCGAGAACTGTGTCATTTTCAAAATTATATTCTCAACACTTAGGGCACTGTATGCTAGCAAGTACTCAATAAATAGTTAATTAAATAAAACATTAAATTTTACTGGTTTAAAAAAACCTGAAGGGTAGTTTAGAGAGAAAAATAACAACTATCCTGTATGTCAATGATTAAAACTAATCTATGATGTCAAATTATTTTGAAAAGACTAAAGAAAAAGACTGTAAAAAATAATAAAAAATAAAAGAGAAGAGAGCACAAAGGTCAGAAATGAGGTCTTATTATTAAACATTGGCTATTTCAACACAGGAGTTTCTTTAAAGTTTAACAACGCGAGTGAGTATACAAATCTGTAAGAGATAAGAGCAGATGTTTTTTAAATCATTCCTATTTGCTCAAAAATTATAATGCCAAATGATTAATTTTAGTTCCTATAGCATATTTTATAAACAAATCCAAACCTTAGGGGTTTTTCCCCCCACAAAGGAGGTCAGCTGAAAATGCTGAAAGGGCCCACAAAAGTTTAGAACTTCCTTAAGGAACACCTCTTGCCACTTCCTCTCACCTAAACAACGAAAACCCAAACAAACAAAACCCAAATCAACAGCAATTTTATAACCAAGAACATTTCTTTGATGATTTTCAGAATAAATGGTGGGAACAGGCAGAATAGAATCTCCAATAAATTACAACTCACATTCAGAAATGTATCAATAAGAATTTTCCCAAGAAAAATAATGCTGATAATTCTAGGAAAATGGTGTAGATTTCATTTGTTACAAATCAAATTCCAGACAGGGTTATAAAATCAAAGCACTATTGTAAAAAATATGAACTATATTTCAAAAATTTTAGGTTAACAAATAAAAACAAGGGAAAATAGAAGAACTCAAGAAATCAACATTGAAGGCTAGTCTCTTGCTGAAAATATTTATTATTAAAATTCCAGCAGATGAAATCTTTGTCCTTCACCACTAAGTTAAAAGACTAGTTAGATTGTCAGCTTCTCTGATGCTATTAATTACAGTTAATTCCACGCCTAGAAATGTTTATAAATGTGATTATCTCCTTTTTACACTGAATAATCTTAGAAAATAATGTTGAATAATCTTAGAATCTAGGTCATACACAAGCAGTGGCACAAACTGATTCTAGTTTATTTCAAGCTGGGTTTTTTTTAAACTATAAAAATGAACAAACTGTTTTCATTGTCTAAGTTACCGTATCTATCATTTGCTGTCTGATGATGATGAAACTAATATCATGATTATGTCATAATGATAACAGTAGCAAAGATTTAGAGATTACTATGTATGAGGCACCTCTTATAAAGGTGCTTTACATGTATTTATTCATTGAATCCTTACAACTCTTTGAAGCGAATACTAAAAGTATCTCCATATTACAAATATCCCCATATTATAGAAACTGAGGCACAGAAAGTTAACTTTCCCAAGGCCACACAGATAATAAGTGGCAGAGCCAACATTCAAAGAGAGGCAAACTTAAGAGTCCATGCTCTTAAATACTACATTATAATGACCTTCCATCATTATAAAGATGTTAGTAAAACATTTTATGTAATTCATCCATATAAGTAAAGGCTAAGATGAGAAAGGAAATAACTGAAACTCAGAAAGGTTAGGTGAATTGTCCAAGGTCATTGGCTCTAAAGCCAATCAGCATTACCCTCTCTGTGCAACTTTCCCAATTGTAAAAAAGTTTGGAAGAGGGTAGGGGTCCTAAGAACATACAAATACCTTTGCAAATGCCAAATACATATATATAAGAATGAATGGTACAGTCATTCATTATTCCAACTGTCTTACTTTGAGTTTTACTCTTTTAAATAAAATGAAGTCTCGGATTTAAAAAAGGAAAGACAATGCCCTTGGCTTCACAGAAAGTCAATGAAGGCAGTCTCATTCAATTTTAATACTTTAACAATTACCAAATCTAATATACACACTTCAGCCTTGACCTTCCGAAATCTCTCTGAACTAGCTAAAAAATTTCTCCTTCCTTCCCTCTTAGAAGTCTCTTTCATTGTGATCACCACTTTCCATTAGGTTTTGACCTCTGAAATTGCAGTACCTTCTGAATTTAACACCTAAAGGGTTGGGTTTTATCAAGGCTCTTCTAATACTACATACATATTTTCTCTATATGACCTCATCAGCCCTCATAGTTTTTATTTGTTTTTTATAAAGGTGTAACTTTTTTTTTAAGCCCTCATAGTTTTTTAAAAAACTCAGGCATTATCTAGATGCCTCTTTCCTATCATTAATCAAATATAACTGGCCACCAGATCCTGTACATCTACCTATTTTTTTTTTTTTTTTGAGTTGGAGTCTCACTCTGTCACCCAGACTGGAGTGCAGTGGTACGCTCTGGTCATCACAGCCTCGAGCTGGTGGGCTTCGGCGATCCTTCTGCCTCAGCCTTCCCAGTAGCTGGAACTACAGGCACATGCTACCATGCCAGGCTAATTTTTGATTTATTGTAGAGACAAGGTCTTGCCAAGTTGTCCAGGTGGGTCTCGAACCTTCAGGCACAGGCAATCTACTTGCCTCGGTCACCCAAAGTGCTGGGATTACAGGTTGAGCCACCAAGCCCGACCCCATCCACCTATTTATTTGCCAAATCATCTTCTCTTTTCTATCCTCACAACCATATTTCAGCCCTTACCCTCAGGAGGACTGCTGCAATATTCTCCTAACCAGAATTACTCTCTCTATTTTTATCCATTCTAACGTATCCTCACCAAGTTTCAGGATGAGCTTTCTTTGATACAAACTTGGAACTGTCACTTTTTTGCTTAAACCTTCTGTGGTTTTACAGAGCTTATAGAAGCTTCCCTTATTGGAACATACTGGGCCATTTACACTAAGGTCTTCAAAGTCCTGGTTAAATTTTGGGGATGGGACTCAGAAACTACTTTCCTAATTTCTCAAGTGACTTTTAAATGAATCAGACTTTAGAAACCACTAAGCTATAGAACTTAAGGTCAAACTCCTGGAAACTTAATGTAAGGTTCTTTAATGATCTGGTCTCTGCTAATCTTTCTGGTCTCAAATTTCACTATTACTTGCATATGCATCTTATGCTACAGTTTTAAGGTATTTTAGTTCTCAAACACAGCTTATTGACTTCTCTTTCATGTCACTGAGTTTTGCAAATCCTGTTCATTTTCTAAGACTGATACTCTCTCCTTTGTAAACCTATGAATAAAAGCATTCTCCCAAACTCAGTGTGGAGACTTCTTTGACTGCAAAGGTACAAGTGGCCTGTCTGCTTGGCTCCCACCGCATTCTTTGCATATCAAGTCTGATACTTTTAATAGGTCTGTTTCCCTGTCACTAGATTGTGAGTTCTCTGAAAGTAAAAACTAATTTACTCATCTTTCAATCTTGAACATATGCTAGAATAATTATTTCATGACAAAAGATGTTGGAAGTAGTGATCAAGAAGAAAAAAGGCAAAAAAAATCCACCCCAGAAATAATAAACAATTAGTAGAGATGCATTAATGTTCCTTGGGTCAAGGTCTTTGTACCCTGATACTCTCTATACTGATTCCATTAACTAACTTTACACACACGACTGAACTTCATTACTGCTTGATACAGAAATTATATAACAATATTTACAACTCAAAGGAATCAAAAATGGTTTTTATAACTCACAAAATTTGTACAGTTTCTAATATAACACCCTCTCCTCAAACTTCAAAAGAAAACAATTATTAGAAGCATATACTTTCAGCACTAAGTCCTTTATTTTTGAATACAGTCTCAAGAAAAACTATCAAAACACTGGAAGCAATTTATCCAATGTATGTTCAGCATACTGAATAATTTTACTTTGACTTTTGGCCAAACTCTTGGCTCCTTTTTAGGGATTAAATAGCAGTTCAGGGCAACCTTCAATAACGTGGTATTCTGAGTCATACATTTTATGAAAAAAAAAAATTAATGTGGTTTACATGAGGAAAAATAGATTTTCTTAACATGAATATTGATAGTTTAAAATAAAATAACTTTTAATAAAAACATTGTTCTAATGGACAGTTTCAGGACCACAATGATAGTAGTCAATGTATGTGTCACATGATGTGAACAGCTGTGGCATACCCCTAATAAGCTCTAAGGAGGCGCTCACCCTGCTGGCCCTGGGGCGTCTGTGAGATGATAAACTGCGCTGGCTGCAGGTTGGTGGTAGGATGCACCAACACAAACTGCTGCAGGTTGAGATTCTGCTGTTGAAGCTGTTGCAGTTGTTGAAGATCCTGAAAAATTAGAATTAAAACATGCATTGGAGATTCACTTAACCATAAGGTGTCCAGCTGATGACTTCTGTGATATCCAAATAAAAAAGAGTGAATATTTAGCATTCTTTTCTATTTCTAAACAGGGTATGCTCTTGATATGTTTCACAAAGCATGTGAAGAAATCTGGAGCCCTTGCAAGGACTTGCCATTTTTGTGGGATGACATGTATTGTGCCATGACTTAGCTGAGCCTAATTTTCAATGGTTATTTAAAATTCTCTCAGAACAAATGATTAAAGTTCTGTTTTTAAACATATAGACTAACATGCATTTTAAAAATCAAGTGAGAAGAGTTTTAATTATGACTGATTTTTTCCTTAAGTAAAAACTGCTATAATTGAATTTCCATCAATAAATTAAAAGAACTATAATTATTTATGAAATTTGATATCAGTTTATCTAGCTCAATTGAGAAACCAGTGTTCCACTTTTTTTTTTTTTTTAAGAAAAATAGCTATCCATATAAAAATCTGGCCCATAACAACAACAGCACCTTACACTGGACTAGTGTTTTATAATTTTACTTGGCCTAGTGTTTTATAATTTTAAAGTGCTTTCATATACATTTTCTTATTTAGACTAGTGCTCACTTTGGGCCTCACAGCTTAGGCACTAAAAATATTTATTTGGTGATGAAGAAAGTGGCCAAAATCAAAACATCATCTTGATAAAGACCGTATATAATAGTAATAAAGATTAGCCTTATATCGATTCTTTACCCTTATAGTCAATTAGTTCTAGTCAAAACTCTTGCTATAATTTAAGCCCATGTCTGATCTTTTCTTGGGGTGGTAAAGACAGTTGTTTAGCACTAGACTCACAACAAATCTTCATATATTTTACTAATGACTAATACCTTATACCTCTTCTTAAGATAAAAGGATTTCATTTATTTTCCTCTTTGGTACTGTTGTCTTTGACTCTTAAATCAAATTGTATTACCTCTGGATACTTTGCCCTAAAATGTGAAAATTGAAACAAAACAACGTACTAACGCAATTCTGCAGAATGCGAATCACTCGATAGCAGAGAGATAATCGCTGTCTCTCTCACACACGGGTGGCAAGATTCACTGCAGAGCACGTGAAAGAATCCATGCCTGCTGTAATTAGCTAATTAAAATAAATATAGTAATCTCCTGCCTCAGAAATATGCCAGCTAATTATTCAAGAATTGTCACTTAATATAAACAGTTATTCAGATAATCAGCTATGTGTTTATAATGTCAACTCAAATAAGCAAACAAACATATTATTTCTAATTCAGTGGTAAGGAAGAGTACCACTTACCTCACTGATCTAGAGCTCCTTGGGCCTTTAAGGGCCCACACTAACAATCAGAAAGTTAATTTAATATTAAATAACATCTGCCACTATATTCCTCACTTGCTGCCCGGCTCTCAGAGCTCCTCACTCACCTGTGCGATCTGTATGGGCTGAGACAGGGGGATCTGCGTCATGGGCGTGGCGGCAGAGGCTGAGATGGTGGCCCCAGCAGCACTGTGCTGCTGGCTGGCGGAATGCTGCTGCACTGCAGCGGCCAGCAGCTGTGCCTGTGCCTGTGCCTGCTGTAGCAATAACTGTTGCTGGGCTGGCGTCAACGTAAGCTATACAAAATCAGAAACACAATGGGAAATGGGTGAAGGAGAAGGACTCCTAACACAAGCTGATTGCTTAGATATTTCACATGGTGACTGAAGTGTTATTAGTCCCCAGATACCCACTTCACATGGTTGGCACACAGCTAAAATGTTCAGCAGTTATCAAACTAGCATTACTAGCAGAACATTTAAATTAAAATAGTGGTCCTCACTCAGTACTTAACCAATCATTCAAGCTAGTCAGAGCCCCAGGGTTTAGGCAAAAAAGTAATTAACTAGTAAGCAAGAAAAAAAAAAAAGAATCAATGCTGACAGGATATGAAAAGACAGTTACACCCAACAGAACAGCAAATGATTAGCCAGATGAATGAAAAGCAAGGGTGCTGGCTATAACCAAGAAAAGAGCTGATAAGGCCCAGCTGCTGTCCATTAGCACCATCCCTGCCATTTTCCATCATTTCCATTATGTCCTAAGATATGACTAAAGAATATGAGCTTCATTTGTTTCTTTTCCAAGACTCTCTACAGGCCCCTCCCTAACACAGTCTTTTCTGTTATTGAAAGTACTGAGTCTCTGCAACTTTACATCCCTTTCCGACACATTATCTCTATGAAACAGGTGATGACAGCGCTTTCTTTACATGCAAATGATTCTGAATGCCCAGGTTTAATAGATGCCCTAGCCACAGGAACCTAGAATTCCAAATGCTTCTTACTATTGTAGATACCAGTCACCAAAAACAAGACCCAAATAGTAAAATAGAAGATGTATTTACAGTAGATTTAAACTTGCTTTCATAATGGAACTTATTTCAAGCACACTTAAAGCAATAAGTGTGCTCTACTTTCCTTTTGGTGATATATTCTGATTGATCACACACAAAGGAATCATGCAATATTCCGAAGTGCACATACAGTCAACTTAGTGGCACAACTCTCCTTCTAAAAGGATCTAACACAATTTGTGCATTAGAAACATATGACTCAAAATCAAACCATTCAATAATTACCTTTAAGAGACACGTGTGCATATACTGTGTGTGTGTGTATTTATTCATTCTTTTTTTATTTTTTGTAGAGACGGGTCTGGTCTTGCCATGTTGCCCAGACTGTTCTTGACCTTATGGCCTCAAGAGATCCTCCCATCTCAGTCACCCAATGTGCTGGGATTACAGGTATGAGCCACCATGCCTGGTCTGTTTATATAACTTGTACATACATTAATCGCTACTGATAAGATTTTATAAAAAGTTATTCAACAGTTCTTAAAAGAGTTATCTACTGCCAAGACACACAACTGAAATGAAGAAAATATTCATTTTCTGGGGGTTGATGTGGTGTGAATTGAGTAATAACTATTCCTTAGGCCCCCCCCACCAAGATAATACACAAATTTTTAACACTGGAAAAAGATTTTGAATGGTGCCTTAGAGCAAAGATGGCTGAAAACTTGAAAGTTTAAAATATTCATACAGGTCAATGTATTAATAATAAAAAATAAGTTACATTAATCACTTCTTAACCTTTTGGCTAAGATCAAGTGTAAAAATTACTGAATGCTACATGCTAAGCATTGTTCTATGACTCCATATATTATCTCTAATCTTTACACCAGTTCTGTCAGATGGGTATTATTAACATATCCATTTAACAGAAGGAAAACTGAGGTACAGGGAAATAAACTAATTTGCCCCTATGGGAAGTTACAGAGCCAGGATACGAAACCACATGACTTTAGAACACTACACAGTAACTTAAATAGTTTTCTTTTGTAGGTACTACTCCATTCTTCAATTTCTACCCTGCAGTGATGTCATAACGCCAAATGGACAACTGCCATTCATCAATAACTATACAGTAATGACTCTATCACATGAGGAAGCAAAACCTGAAATGTGGGCTTAAAAGAGTTCTTAGTGTATCCAGAGCGTCTGCAGTTTTAACAAAAGGTGTTATGAAAACTTATGACAAAGATAACTCTTTTTTCAGAGATGCTTTACAGTGTAGAAAGTTCCTTAAAGACACAATAGTGCCAGGCATAGCCATGTTACTGCCAGCTATGGTGGACAATTCTAATCAGATATTGGCCAATGGCAGCTCCAACACAGAGAAAGTTCATTACAATTCTCTCAGTGAAAACTTACCCCAGTTATCTGTCCTCCAGCCAGCATAAGCTGGGTCTGGGGTATGGCTGCCTGCACTGAAGGCTGCTGGGAAGGCTGGCTTGGCTGCTGGGAATCCCCCGATTCTTCATTAGATTTAGACTGAGGTGGGGTGAGATAGGAAATGAAAGATTGCAAATAGTTGATTAAATAAAATGTACAGATAACCCCATATTTTAAGAATCATTTAAAACATGGGCTTATTCAGTCACGAGCTTTTGGTTTCCTTCTTTTCCTTTTTTGTGTTTTCCTAGTTTTATACACTAACTTTTTAGACTTTTATTCCAATGCCAGCAAAGCTGCAACTATAATTTAAAAATAATAATAATCAGTCAGTGTTCTACAAAGTAATGGAATTTTTCATAACCCCAAATCCTCAATTCTGGAAATAAGGTTAGTAAAGGTAAGAATACATTTTCTTTCCACCTCGGTATTAGACCCTTCATACTAACACTTTGACATACTGCTTGTGGTCAGTCTGAAACCTCTTCAAATACCATCTTAGAGGTTGATTACTTGACCCAGAGAACTTTTCACCTAATATTTTAAAGAACAATAAATCTAGCATCTCCTATCAAGTAACACACAAGTTTAGGGGGAAAATGTTGCAGTCAAGAGAGAAAGGGAACACATTCCTAGAAGGGGCAGGAAGAGAAAATTTTATGGTAATTAAAACTGGTTATGCAGAGCACTAAAATTCTGCATAGATTTGCATATTTCCCACCACCTGTTTTGGGAACTGCAGTAAGGCTAATTAACATAAAAGCTCTGATTAATTCTGCCAGTCATTGAGAGATAATTACAGTGCAGGACTGTAAACATTCTGCACTGGAGATACAGCTTGTTTGCCAACATCTCTCTAAGGGATGAAAGTTTACCATGGCAACCAAGGCAATTTTCCGCCACCTCTCCCTCAGAAAGGAAGGTCACTTTATCTCTTTCTCTTTTCTCTTCTTGTTCCCATGTGTTACTAGGTCCATGTTCCAATGGGATTCAAGGAATGCTCAACCCAAGGTCTTTAGTCACTAGCAACACTGAAATTAATCTTCCCAAATACAGTCTTCCCTCTTGACCGGCAGTTACCTAAGCACTATAATGAAAGGAAGCAGCAGGTTGAGTGAAATGTTATGGAGTAATGCCCAATACTTGAACTTAGTATGTTTTGCCATATGGCTCACAGAAATTAAGTAGTCAGATTAAAGTTTTGTTTTATAATTTTAACTGTTTACCCACCAATGTCTGTAAACAGGTTTAATCACAATTTCTTAGAAGCATAACATTTTAGAGCAGAGAGGAACCCTGGCAATCTTATAAATGTCCCCACTTAAATGCAGATAAGAAAAAATGGACTCCTAGGAGGTTAAGCGACTTGCCAACGGTCATGCAGCTAGTCAGTAACAGAATGAGAATTCAAACCTAAGACCCTTGTGTCTGTCAGCCCAGTATTCTTTCCTCTCTGCACTATAATGTTTCCCTAATACATAAAAAAACCTTTGGAAATGAAGGACATTTAAAGAACTCATCAGGCTTTGTGTTTACGTATCTGTTATAGCTGTATAACTTAGAAACATTTTTACTGAACTTTCATATAAAACTTTGAAAGTAGACTTTTCCTGCCCACCTTTGGTTCATGCACAGTAGCAAAATATACAATTTATTTTCATTAATGGCAATAATTATCATTATTCAGATCTTTACAATATTCATTAATTTTAAAAAGACAGTACTTCTAAGAATTACCTATTATAAAATTATGTGCTCATTATAGAAAATTAGAAAAATATGGAAAAAACAAATAGAAGATTGACCCATAATCCCAAATCTCAGCTTACCTGTACATTTAAAGACTGAGCAGCAGCCTGTAAACTTGTTCCAGCGAGCTGGACCTACAAGTAAAGTAATCAGGGGAAGTTCTAGTCTAATATTGTTGACATGCATCACTAGAGGTTGTCATCAACAAATATTTCAAGAGTCTCTACTACGTCTCTACTAAGGGTGAGTCACTGAGCTAAAACTGAGAATACAAATAAGTTTTTCTTATGGGGTTAAAACTTTATGGATAAGCTCACAGTGCCTCTACCTCCCACCAGCCTCACTGAAAAACACTGTCAATTTTCTCTGAAGCTGTTTTCTGACCCTAAATAAGCATTTGCTGGCAGGCCACACTTGCAGTGGATGTCCTTTATATAACATTCTGTTTGTATTCATATGATGCTTAGATTCTAAAAATGTAGTTCATCTCCAAATTGTGTTAAAGAACATACAAGAACAAGCTACCTAAATACATTATTTTATCATTAAAAACAATCAGAGCTATCTACTTGTTCTGAATATTTCAAAATATTCATACACAGACCAGAGTAGAAATCTTCTATATACACATACTACACAGTCAAGTGCTAAAAACATTTACAGTCATAACTTAGATCTTCTAGTTGAAATAAAGAACTCTGTACTATAATCCACACATAAAAGTCTGTCATAATACTTAATACATTTCATACATTCAGAATTTTCAGTCATAGTTATGGTAAAATAAAGAATACACATGGAATCAGGAAACTACCATTTGACAACTATGATAATAACTGATTTAGGCAACAGTCATCAGTGGATGACTAAGGGTGAAATCTTAGAAGTAACAAGATATTTACATATTCTCTACTACCTCTCTTCACAGATACTTATTAATTCCAAAGGGTCAAATAGTAACTTTATAGTGGAGAAATTTGGCTGACAAGTGATCAAATAAATGCAGTCACCAGGAATGAGACATGCCTATGACACACTGAAAAGAATACAGCATTGCTTATGCCGTATTCCTAACAAAAGTATATAACCTGAATCTAATCATGATTTAAAATCAGACAAACCCAAATTAAGAAACACTATAAAATAAATGGCTTGTACTCAAACAAAGAAAGGTTGAGAAGGGAGAAAGAGGACATATACTAGGCTAGAAAAAACAGAAACCTCAACTAGGAGTGGTAGCAGTGGGAATAAAATTAGGAAGCAAAACTTGAAATGCACTGCAAGATACTACACAAGGAACCTGGCAACTGACTTGCTATAGATGCAGAAAAGAGAGTCATGAATTGTCCCAGGGTTCAAATCTGGGATACTGGAAAATAGTAGTGTCACTAATAGGGACCGAGAAGATAATGAGTCCCATTTTGGATATATCACACAGCATCAAGATGTACTGATGTTCAATATAAATGTTGGTATGGAGCTTGGTAGAGAGTTAAGGGCTAAAATGGAACGATTGCTATGCCCTTTAATTGAAACTGAAAGTCCTGTTAGCAGATAAGAACGCTCAAACAAAGAAACAAAACCCAGAGATTTATGGAGAACACATTTTAGATACATCATAACCAGGAGAGGTCTATTTGAAGAAATTCTATGTTTAAGACCTAAGGGCTAAGATGTTACCAAAAAACCAGAAAAAAGAATTTCAGAAACAAAGATTTGAAAGAGGTAAAGTTTTTATGCAATTTTATTTAAATTATCACATTCCAGGGTAAAGTTTGCCGAGATGAAGGATACTTGTTACAGTCTTTAAAGTATCGTCTCACAGATTATTAATTACGGGGGGGGGAGATATCTTTACAGTAGACTAACCTGGTAAACACTACCTTAATCAAATGATCCAACTTACTAGCACAATAATGGGACAAGACAGTATTATATGCCTTCTGACATAATGTACCGAGTGGGAACTCAACACCAGTTCTTTGGTTTGGGTGGCATTGAAGGGTCTATGATCTTGGTAAATAGCGGCTAGAACTTGGAGGCCTTGAAGTTGATGCAAGGAGAGTTGCAATCATCTTGAAATTCAAACTCAGTGGGGAGAAAACCACATCATCCACATATCTTCTGGGAATTTTTTGCACATTTGAACCATCCCATATTTAAGTGAGATAAAGATACTATGTGCCACATAATTGACTAAACTCCGCAAAAAAACCAGAAAACTTACTGAAGGCTTAAAATGTTCTTAGAGGAGAATCAACAAGAAAACATTTTTGTTTTTCTAGAATACATATAAAACATAATCTTAAATTCATTTTAGATATTAATTCATCTTAAAATTTTATCTAAAAGCTGTATATAGAAGCTTTTCCATTTCAAAGACGTAAACAGACTATTTGTCTAAGCAAAAGTGTGTCCACTAGGCCTCACTCTAACAGAAGATGCTAATTGCGGCCTACATGATAGCAGTTTCAGTCTGTGAACAAATAAATGGACTTAAGAATAGCTTTCTAGAATTTCACCTGTTTTCAAGTAGAGAAGCTTCTTTTATCATTTTGGTGACATTTTAATGAAAAGACTTGAATAGTAAGATGTATATCAGTTCACAGTAACTTACTATGTTAATCTGTAACCTGGGAGGTTTTATGTCCATGAGTCCACTAAATCACCACCAGCATTACTATGAGGTACCATGACTAGCACCATTATTACCAATACTGTAACTAACACATTTTGAAAGTTAAACTAGTTCTAGGCTTTAACCAAGCTACAGATCATCAAGAGCAAAGAACTGCTCTGATAACATAACTGATAACATAAATCAAGAGGCTGAGACACCCTGATAATCCATCTCCCAACTGTTTTCACTGTTTTCCATTTTTGACCAGCTCCCATATCCTAAAACTACTAGGTAGTCAATGATTGTTTTTTAAATTCCCTTTCCCTCAACATTATAGCTAAAACATGAATGAATAGAACCCAAGGCCTGTTTTGGACCCAGGAAAACAATCATATGACATAAGGGTAATAAAGTTGAGGCAGACCTTTTTGAACCTCAAACAGAGGGTTCATGCTCAAGCAAAAATGCTCTGAGTTGCCCAAATCAACATGGTCTGGAACTGTTTTAGAGGAGAGAGAAGCATTTTGACCTCATATAGCAGGTCTCAGGCAACAGTAGCCACAGCATTTTGGGTGACTGATAATTTACTACCTTCAGTTAGCCACCACAGAATCACGCTCATAAAAACAGTAACTCAGTTGTTATATGCATCCCATTAATAACAAGGAATTCCTTTTTCCACAAAGCTGTGGAGTCAATGACATGCAGTCAGCTAAAGTACAGGATGCCACAATAACCATTCAGAATGATACAATTAGACGTAATAATCTCTAGGCTTTAAATACTTTTAAAAGTCTCACTTTCTGAATTAACTTCCCCAGGTCCTAGCATTTTATTCTTCCACCTTTTACTTTCATTTATGGTTGAGCAGAACATCCTACCTGATGGAGATGTCCAAGAAAAGCCTGGGCCTGGGCTGTTGAAATTGCTCCTCCGACAGGCACAGGCTGCTTCTGAAAGTCCAGACCATTGGTTTGTGTGCCTAAAAACCAAGTAAAATAATTGTAACTATTAAAAGACATAAACACCAGTGAAATAAAACACTAAATTTCAGTTACCAACATTCACCAGGCACCTATTTTCTATAAGCACTTTCCTAAGTACTTCCAAGGAAAAGAAAGAATTCAAAAGAAAGGAAATACAGTAAAATGGTTTCTCTTCTAAAGGTAGGACTGTGGAACAAGTACACAAACACCAATAAAGTTTAAGAAACAGAAACAAAAATATAAATAATAAATTACAATCATAAGCTAGTGTGGGAGAATTCAGATGTGAATGCAGTGACTGGAGCAACTGGGGTAGGAGGAGGCATGCAATTTAAGATGGATTTAAGAACGAGATCAGGATCACTGCTGTAGAGAATGGCAGAGAGAGAGTTCCAGAGACACCAAGGCTCTCTTCTACACTCATCCTACTCAACATCTGGTTTGGACAAAAGAAATTTATTGGTAATTCTGCCAAAAGCAAGAAGGATTTACTATCAACTTTTAAACACTTTAATGAATAACAATCTGATGGCAAAAGCAAATGTTTCATGATAAGCATAAGGAAAACAAAATAGTTGTACTGATTTCTTTAACCCCAAAGTACAGACTACTGCATATATCTCATTAGCAAGGCCTCTGCCATAATTATATTTTTTGAAATGTTATGCCAGTGCTTTTTAAGCACTTATGCTGTGATTTGATTGGAATGGGGCTAATTATGGAAAGACATGCTACCCTAATCCCCAGAACTATTTTCCAAGGGATATAATACATTATTTTAAAATTACTACAGCTAATTTTTATTTAGAAACAGCCAGAATACTTGGTATTGAATAAAATATAACAGACCACCGGAATCTGCAAGAACTGTCTAAACACACAGATATGGTCCTACACTTACACTCCCTGTCGCTTGCACACCCATCTTCCCTTCCGCACCAGTGTGTACATGCACACCCAGACTGTCCTATTAGGACAGCACAGGTGAAAGCCTTCAAGCAGTATTTCTTAAAGAGTGCTAGCTTCTGCCGTTATATACCTCAATTTCTGACCAATGGATCATTTAAAGAAGAATAATTTGGTATACCATGTGACCCAGACGGGGCATTTGTTTCCATGAGATAATTATAAAAGAAATACATAAAAATTTATCTTCCATAAAACTTCTAAAGTCTCCTACAATAGAAAACTAAAGAACTACCCAGCCATATGCAGTTAACAAAATTAAGAGTGCACGCTAGTGTCAAGTAATTAAAAACTAGCATGAAAACAAAATACTGTGCACCATTGGATTACCTGTCAATCATACCTCAGTTAAACTGGAGGGGAGAAAAAAAAAGTCTTTCAGAACAAAATATCTCACTCTCATGGAGTTCATGAAAATTCCATACACTGGTTCCACTTTCAAGTTCCCATGAAAATGCTAAGAAATCTCCACTAAATAACATGAGATTGGTTGATTTATGGTATCCCTGGCATAATGGTCTATTTGTAATGCTATTTAAATGCCCAGGCTCTGTCTCTTAAGGGAGGCTAAGATGAAGGCATGGTATCTATATGTAAATGTTTTAAAGTTTTTTTTATATATTATGATATTTTGACATTTTAAAGCAGGGGACCCCAGACCCTGGGCCCTGGACCAGATTGGCACACATCTGTGGCCTGTTAGGAATAGGGCTGCACAACAGGAGGTGAGTGGCAGGTGAGCGTAGCTCCGACTTCTTTCAGATCAGTGGCAGCATTAGATTATCATAGGAGCGAACTCTATTGTGAACTACGCCTATGAGGGATCTAGGTTGCCTGATCCTTATGAGAATCTAATGCCTGATGATCCCCTCCCCACTTTCCCGGTCTGAGGAAAAACTGTGTTCCATGAGACCAGTTCCTGATGCCAAGAAAGTTAGGGACCACTGTCTTAAATAACCTTTCTGTCTGTAGTGAGACCACCCCTCCCAGGCTTGGTTAATTCTTAAGGGACAGCAAAGGGCCTAGCTAGCAGCATGTCTTTGGTAAGCAAACTAACCAATCCAGAGCCATATCTCCTCAGTCAGACTCTGGAGGCAATATTCTTCTGCCGTAAATCATCCCGGAGCCAAGTACTGAGCAACTAGAGACCACTCCTATAGCCCAGAGTTACCCTAAATTATTCAAACTAGCCAATCCTAAAATGCTTACCTTGCACTGCCTTGCCTTTCCAATAAACGTAGTAGCCTAGAGCTGGGCGCTGTGACTTGCCCATGTAATCCTAGCTTCTCAGGAGACTGAAGTGGGAGGATTGCTTGACCCCAGGAGTTTGAAGTCGCAATGAGCTATGATTGTGCCACTATAAAAAGTAATGGCCTAAACCTTCCCACAGAAACTCCAATAAAGGCAGTGGCCTCAATCTTCCCTTCACTCCTGTCTTTTGCTTCCTGATCACTCTGGTATCTTTCCTTCATGGCCTTGCATGGTGTACTGTGTCTCTAAAACCAGTGAATATTATAAACTTCATTTTCCCGAGCTTTTTTTGTATCCTTTTGTGGCTGCAGCTGATTGATCATCTTGTAAAAGAATACAAAACAATATTTAAAGGTAGTAAGGTGAAAAGAGCACTCTTAGACAACAACTCAGATAAACACAGAGATTTATGATACAAAGGCGGGGAGCTAGCTTCTTTGAACAAGGTGCTCCATTGGGAGGCAAGGGGTAGAAAACAGTAGATACTACATAGAAATCATTCTTGTAAAATATGAAGACCTAAAGTGGGCTAAAAGAACAGGAAAGGGGGACAGAGACACACACATACCCCAATTAATATGAGTATAAGACAGGTATGAGAAGACAGGGATATTGAGAGCCTTTTGTTTTTGAGTGCCTGGGAGAATAAGAGAGCCTGCTTAGGAGATGTAAAGACAGAGAGACAGAAGCAGCAGTTAGAGAAATAGCAGGAACTTGGGGCGGAGGGGGGAGGGAGAACCCACAAAATTAGTGTGTTTCAGGAGCCAGGGAAGAGAAAGCTACAAAGATGGGGGTGGTTTCATACTGCTAAATGGCCAACTTGGTTCTTTCAAAAGAATCATGTAACTTATCAACTTATGGTAAGATGGAACAAGAAAATAAGATAGAAGGAGCAAATAAACAACTCAAGTATAACAAAAAAGGCATAATAAAAAATGCTGCAGATAAGAAAAAGATTAAGAGGATATTGCAAACCACTTCATGTCAATAAAATTAAAGCTTATAAATGAATAATTCTGGAAAATATAACTAATCCAGACTGACTCAAAAATGATAAAAAACCCAGAGTCCCATAGCATTTAAGGAAACTGAATTAGAAGGTAAAAATCTTCCCCACAAGAGAATACAAAGCCCTGACAATTTTACCCAAGAGTGTTTCCAAAATTCATGGAACAAGTAATTCCAATCTTTTACAAACTTTTTCAGGGAACAACAACAAAACCAAGAAACGCTTCAGAATTCATTTTATGAGGCCAGCATAACCCTGAGACTATAACTTGACAAAGAAAAGTATCAAAAAGAAAAAGCTAGTCTAATTTATAAACAGATATGGAAAAATCCTAAGTAATAACAGCAAACGCAATCCAGTAAAATAAAATATTATGAATAAGGTGAATTTATCCCAGGAATACAAGGTTAACTGGGTGTATAAAAAGTCAATTAACAGGATTCACCAAATTCACTAAAAGGGGAAAAAAAAATCATACAATAATTTCAAAGGATGCATAAAAACCCTTAGATAAATTCAATATTCACTGTCAATAAAAATTCTAGGCATCAGAAGCTTCCTTAATAAAGAGTACTCTTAAAAAATAAATAAACATCATAGTTAAAAATAAAACATTAAAAGCACTTCCTTTACCATGAAGAACAAGATAAGGGTGCCAAGTACCATTACTTCTACTATGCTAGAAGCCTATTCAGCAAAACAAGAAAAGAAAACATCTGAATTGGAAAAAAAAGAAACAAAACCATCTTCTCAGATGATTTGATTGTTTTTATAGGCTATCCTAAGGAATCTAATGATTTATTATAAAAATAATAAAGTTTAATAAGGCTGAAGCACACAAAATCTACTTAAAAACTGTCTTTACATATGCCAAATGAAAATTTTTTTAAAATTTTATTTATAACACTTAAAACATATAAAGTCTTGGAAATAAATATAACAAAATTTAGCAAACACAAAATTATGAAATTTTATTTAAAAACAAAAATATAGCTGGATGCAGTGGTATACACCCATAGTCTCCGTGCTTTGGGAGGTCAAGGCAGGAGGATCACTTGAGGCCAGGAATTCGAGATCTGCCTAGATAACATAGTAAGACCCTGTCTCTCCAAAAAACATTTTTTTATTTTTTTTTTAGTTAGAGTCTCACTCAGTCGCCCAGACTGGAGTGCAGTGGCCGCTCTCGGCCACCGCAGCCTCGCCCTGCTGGGCTCCGGCGATCTTTCCGCCTCATCCTTCTGAGTAGCTGGAACTACAGGCGTGCGCTATCACGCCCGGCTAGTAGAGGTGAGGTCTCGCCAAGTTGCCCAGGTGGGTCTCGAACCCGTGGGCTCAGGCAATCCACTCAGCTCAACCTCCCAAGGCGTGGGATTACAGGCTGAGCCACCGAGCCCGGCTCAAAAAATTTTAGTTCTCATAAGTGGACCTTGAACAACTATTGTAATACTGTTCTCACTCATAAGTGGACCTTGAACAACTATCGTAATACTGTAAGAATGGGATTGGCAGTAGTAGGAAACTGCCAGGGGAGGGTGGGGGCGGGATTGGCAGTAGTGGGAAACTGCCAGGGAAGGGGGAGAGCACAGCTCATCAACAAGGGTACCTGCATAATGAACATTTGTATGCCTAACCCCGAATTGTACCCCACATATTTAACATTAAAAATTTAAAAAAGGAAAAAAAAGTGGAGAGACTGGTCAGGCATCATGGCTCACACCTGTAATCCCAGCACTTTGGGAGGGCGAGGAGAGAGGACTGTCTGAGCCCACA